CAGCAGCGTTGTAGGGTATTTCTACTAAAACTTCCAATATGGAACCCAAGGAGAGGTACGGTAAGCATAGTACTTGGGATGTATCTTGGGGCTATAAGTAGAAAAAGGATGCCCCAACGAAGAGTATTGCTATTTCTCACCCCACCTCTGCTGCTGGTGGGACTTGCTTCGCTGATGGTCTGGCCGAGACTGGGCCTTAGACGCGACCGAGCCGTAGTTACTGTCGGATGCCGTGGTTTCATCTCAAGTTTCCGGCTCTGGCAGCGGCTTGAAGAAGGAAAACTCCGTTGGGTGCTCGTACCTGCGAGGACGTCGCCGAGACTCTGCTGCAACTTTGCAGAATTAGATAGTTAGTATGATACGATATAACTTATATCATAAAGAACAGTACAATGTAATGTCACACACTAGCGTAATTTATATGTATAGAATATGAGATTATATACTGTAAGATGATATATATATATATACATATATATATAATGTAAGTAACTTGATGCTGCCATGGTGCCTCTTTACTTGAGAGTGTAAGCACTCCGTCTGGTAGATGAACCTCATGGAGACAGCGCTGCAAATGTTGCTGGCGGCCGTTCAAGAACAAGGGCTTAGGGCCTAGGGTTTAGAGTCCGCGGGCGACTCGACAAAAGGAATTGCAAATCAACATCATCATCTCCCAGCTCTGCAAGGCACCAAGAGGCTTTGTGCTGGAAAGCTGGCTCCTCACTCCTCTGTAAAGCATCCACCCTCCTCAGCCCCGAAAGACCTCCAAACTGCTAAAGTTGCTCGAGGCTGCTTCCGGCTTCATGTCCGACAGATCTGACTCCAGGGCCGCAGGTTAAAGTTCAGTATAGATTGTCGGGGACCCAAACGCGAGGCCCCGACCAGTCACCGAGGCATCCGCTCGACCCAGAAGACTTGAGCTGGTGCAGCTTGAACCTGGGAGCTGCAAAAGAAGCGCATGGAGTTTCGAGATCTGGCGTTTAGGGCTTTAGGGTTCAGGAGTTTATGGGGTTGAGCTGAGCTGTGCGCCTTCCCAAGGGCTTGTAGTTGGGCTCATAGACGGCATCTTGTGAACAGGGTAGGTTCAGTCGCGAGAGAAGCATGGCTGCAGGGCGAAGGCAGCCACAACATCTGAGTCTGCCGCTGTTCACTCGATACTGGGAGCGCTCAATCAGGCTAAAAATGATCGAATCCTTGGTGGATTCAGCAGGGCAGGCGAGCTCGGTGGCACAAGCACTCCCCTGCCTCCATCCTCTGCAGCACGCTTCGGATGTTGTTGAGGTCCAAGGCTTGGTCCACACCTAGCGTGCAAGGAGACATGCGAAGGCTTGAGGATTGCCACATCATGAGTAGTTCTCTAAATTGGGTGCCCTTTTCGGGTCCTATTTATAAGGGTGCCGTACTATATTGGGGGCCGAAAAAGGGACCCTTACTTAGAGAACTACCCATATTGCCAAAGGATGTCCCAATGTCGGCGACAGGCATTGGCCACACGCTATTCCGCGGATCCAGTAGTCGCGCGGAGTCCGATACAGGACCACGTGTGACTGTATTATGGTGTATATATATATATATTCATAAGTTATAGAGCAGTATAGTATACTATAACTTGTAATCTATCATAGTATAAGTAACACTTCTGGACCTAGCATAGCACCACAGAGTCTATGCCCCGCGCTGGTGACATTTGCAGTGTTGGCGGCCATGTAAACTTCAAGCTCGAACGTGGAAAGAACCTCAGCAAAGGACCCCGTGGCCCCTCATCCGTGTTGCTAGGACTGCTAGGAACAGAGGTTCTGGCGAGCCAAATGAAGGCCAGGTGCATACCCCAGGCCCTGCCAGGCCCGAATCCTAAAAAATGTTGTCTGCCTCTTAGCCGCTGTCTCATCTTGAGCCGAAAGCCCGCGCCGGCCCCAGCACAAAGCTTACCAGCATCCCAACAGAACCACTGTCTGCCTTGCTACTTCAAGAGTGTGCTGTTGGGAGTTGTAAGTGCCATACTGCTGCTGTGGCAAGAGCCTCTCTTGAGCTCGCCACCTCAGCCCATTCCGTCATGGATGCTCAGGCATCCGAAGCCCTACACATACACACATGCACAGATTCATCAGCTGGGACTTGCACACATGCTCCAGGTTTCGATGCCTGGGCAGGGCATGGCAATCGATCTGAAACCTTACCACCTCGCTGATAACACGATTCCGTGCGTGCTCCTCCTGAACCTATTAGCCTCCGGCATTGGAAGTCCTTCTCGAACCAGTTGCTCTGCGCGGAGCTGATCTGGGCCGGACATAACGGCAAAGCACTCTGACACCAATGCACAAGAGCCCTGGAGGAAAGAGTCAGGTTTCGAAAGCAAACTGAACCCTGAACTCTAACCCTCGCCAAGCAGACTTCAGGCATTCCCAAGTGTCCGGCTGTCTCCGAGCTCGTGCGCATCTAGAGCCAGAGCCAAGTACACACGTGCTGCTCCAGCCTTGCATAAGCCATTCGTCTGTGGCAGGGGAACTCTGAAACAGCAGAAGACTATCTCACCTCGAGAATTCCAGCAAATTCACAAACCAGGCTCCCAGCCAAACTCTTCCGGGTAGGAGACGTGTTCGATTGGCTCACAGCTTCCTGAAGTGTTGGGATGGCCTCACACAGGCTCGGATGGAGTTAGCAGAACCCTTGCATTTTGTGAGCGCTCTGGCACAACACAGCGCACGAACAAGGCATCCTTCGCAGTTTCTCCGCCAGCAATCTGCTGGTCCACTTCCACCGGCAATGCGCCAGATTTGCATACTTCTTCGCTTTTGAAGAGTTGGAGCGTGTCTACCGCCACATGAAGCTGGGATTGTTCCTTCACCTTCTCCAGTAATTCAAAAACTTGCTTCGGCTTATTCAGCTCACTCACCCATATCCTCATGGGAGTGCGACCCTCAAATTTCACAAACCAGAACCTGCGTGGACTTCTGCTTCGGTCATCGTTTCCCATGACGCGAAAAGCGCGAAAGTGGTTAACAAGCACTGCACAGTGTCTGAGATGCTTTGTATTGTTGACGATCCTGAACGCAACAATGTGAGAATATGCCTGACTTTAATTTCAGACGACCCAAGATACAGCAATCTTGGACAAGCACGCAATCAAACATATATGCACCCTGCAAGGCATCATGGAATAAACCGAAACCTAGTAAAATCTATGAGAGAATCCTTGCCCATTTCGGGTAATGATACCACCTTAGACATATTGGGTGAAGTGTAAGGGGGAGTATAGGAATAATCGTCTANNNNCCCAAAATGGGCAAGGGTTCTGCTAACTGATGGCCCGAGCACAGATGGAATGTGAGACGGTACAGCTTCCAAAGCACGCACCGCTCTCCCCACGAAGTCGGGGCATCGGGGCATCATTTTGGTTCCTTTATTGCGATCATCTGCCCGGCTTCTCAAGCCAAGATGGCATACCGTGCTACCTGTCTACTGCTCAACCGCTCCCTGAGCTCATCTTCGAGGAGAACTTGCCGGTCTGCCGCATGCAGGCCTTCATGACTTCAAACATATACTATACAATATAGTATATCGGACATACGATAATATATGCATACATATATATATATATACATATATATATATATATACCTACCAATACCTATGATCTTTGGAATATTTTGCCATAAGCATAAGCAGGACCCGAAGGAATTAGGTGAATTTGCAAATCGCCGCCGAATCGCAATCACAACGACCACTTAGCAAATGTGCGTCTGTGCCTTCTCACAGAAACTCGAAGGGCGCCAAAGGCCATCTCTTGCAGCACTAAGGGACAGGCCTGGAGCCGGTTGCAAAGAAGTAATGCAGGAGACGTCATAGGAAGAATAGGGCTGCGGGCTAGGGCTTTTGAGAATACTATAGTCTAATAACTATAGCAATAACGGTCTTCGAGGAATAAAAATGTTAATTATTTAGGCTTCGCTGATATGGGCGTTGAGGGAATTCTGCTGCGGCATTAGCCTTAGTGTGAATATGAGAAGAAGCAGTTAGTGCATTAGTCCCAGTGCCAGTGTCAGCAGTATCAATAATAATCAACTCCATGAACCAAGCGAAGTAGTATCCCTAGCAGCGTTCGTGGACGTCTGTGTATCACCGGAAGACGCGCCTTGCATCAGGAGACCTCCATCTCCGCCTGTGTCTCCATGTGGCAACCTTTCCAGGTGACAATGCCGTGCTGGAGACAAAGAATGAATAGGAATCCTGATAGTAGCCCATATATGGTAACTCTCTAAATTAGGGCCCCATTTTAAGTCCCCAAAACAGTGCGGTGCCCTTTAAGGACCCCCCAATTAAGAACACTACCCAGAAGGTAACTTAGTCATGTAGAACCTTAATTAGAGCAACCCTTGCAGTAGCCCGAACCGTCACCCCGATAGAAACTCAGAGCAATCCTTGTAGTGACTCTTGAAGTACCCCTTTTGTCCACCTCTGTGGAACACTTTTTCTCTCTTTCCTTCCGCCATCTGGTGGGGCCTCCGGCCCCAGTGGGGATGCAGAGTTCTGGCCATCAGGTCATGGGAGGTTAGGGTTTAGGGTTTAGGGTTGGCGCATATTCTGTGTAATTATCAGGATTCATATGATTGCTGTTATTCTGGTTTAAGGGTCTCTCCCAAAATTGCCTTGGCCTACCACCTGCGCTTGCAAGCCACGACATGCCAGTTTCACACGGCGGTGATGCTGACTGCCGACTTTGCCCTAGAGAGAAGGACACATGCAATGGTTTCAGATAGTGAATGAACATCCTGCTGTTCACTTTGTGATTTAAGCGGCTCATACCCAGCATGTCCTTCTTGTGCCGCTGACGGCCCTGCCTAAGTAGACACTGCAGCGGTGGCTGGCCTTTCCTGGGAAATCCGTGTGCCCAGGCACCAGCCGCTGTCGAGCAGCAGCAATCAGTAATCTGTGCAGTTGCCATGCTTCCAAAGACTTCTGCGGAGGTCTTTGCGGCAAGGGAACTCTCCGAATTGTCCGAATCAAGCCTTCAGAGAGAAGCGGGTCTCACCTGCACATTCAAGGGAATCTTCGACGCTGCAGTCACTGTCTCTTCACAAGCGACTCGAGGGACGAGAAGCCGGCCTTTTTCGAAGAAGCCGACGATCTGGTTCGCTGCAGCCACGCCAGCCTGAGCTGTGCCAGTCGATAACGACAAATAATTAAGGCAACACATGTGTTCGCTGCATCCGCGGCGAGGGGGCCAAACACAGAAATCTCTCGCCTGGAGAACATAGGGTATGCACTGCAGCCAGCGTTTCTAGCAGGCTTCTTTGCGTTTCTTTGCTTTGCCGAGCTGCATTGTCATTGGCCTCTGCAGTCTGAGCTCCCATCTTCTTCTTGGTGAAGATCAGACGCTTGCCGTACTTGTCACCGACGGCAGCCTCTCGACCGCCATGGGATGAAACAAAAATACTTGCAGCAGTACACACGCAGCATGATCTCATGAATGTGGCCTTGTACGGCTCGATGTCTTTGGGAGCTACGTCGCACAGGTAGCAGAAGTCCGTTCGTGTCTTCAGGACCTCGATCATGTCAGCCTGACCGAAAAAGCACGTGCAGTAAGCAGGTTCTGCACGGACTGTAATGGTTTCCGCCCTTGCACTCATTCCAGGCCAGACATGTTCGCGAAGGTCCTGGAGGTCTGCTCAGGTAGCGAACCAGCATCACAGTTCTTTAGTGCAGGGTAGAAGTTGTTGGCTTTCACCGTGCTGCAGAGTCATGACATCTTGGGCAGCTCACTCGGAGATATTCGGAGACGTAAATGCCATGCCGTGAACCGTTCCACGCGCCTCGTGAACCACCTCGGTGCGTGCTGTGTTGATGAGGGAACCGCCCTTAGGCATCTTCATGAGCAACTCCTGCGCCAGATGCTGTAGGGTTTGTCGGAATGTATAGGCATTGAAAGTGCTTTCAGCATATAGGATTTAGGAACTCCAAAGTCCTATGGTATAGGATCTAGGAACTGCAAATCAACAAGTTGAACTAGTTAAGATTTGTTTGTCTGAGCAGTTGCTGGAGCTTTGTGGTATGAAACGTGCTGAATGCTTAAGGCTCAAGTTTGTATTATCACAGGGCGTGCCCTGCCCGATTTCGCCGATTGCCCTCTACGAAGATTCTCATCCTGCAACTCGCGGAACAATCAAAACTGACCGTAGCAAAGGAATAGTTGGTAGCGCTCACTGCGAAATGCTATTGCTACTACTGCAGTTGCTGCTACCACCTACGACGACCTACGACGAAGGCAGCTTCCATGCCACCACACCAATTGAGCGGTGGCTCCTTGTTGATGGACGCCTTGGTCTCATCAGTCAGAGGCACGTGCAGGGAGACATACTGGTGGTCAAAGAGCCCTGCCACCGAAGACACGGGCTCGGCGCCCATCTCCTTAATCTTGTCTGCAGGAATGTAAGGATCGTATGCGAAGCTTTTCATGCCAAAGCCGACAGCCAGCTTGTGCACGGCGCGGGCAACGGCTCCAAAACCGTAGAAGGCGATCTCGCGGTTGACAAGTTCGAAGCCGCTGGTGCCATCAAAATTGTTCCGAGCGCTGACGATCATCATGCCGAATACGAGCTCCGCTACTGCATTGGCATTCTGGCCAGGTGTGTTCATGGCCGTGACGCTCTTGGCCTCGCAAGCCTTGAGGTCAATGTTGTCGTAGCCAGCACCGGCTCGAACAACAATCTTGAGCTTGTCCGCCTTGTCCAAAACCGCCTGATCCACAATATCGCTTCGGATGATCATGGCATCGACACCAGCCACCGCTGCGAGCAAGTCATCCTTGGACTTGTAGTTCTCTAGCTTCTTCAAGGTGTAGTTTGCCTCTTTGACAACGCTCTCAATCTTCCCAACAGCCCCAGCAGCAAAAGCCTTCTCTGTGGCCAGAAGCACGGTTCGGGCCTTTCCTGCCTCACCGGCCATTGTCTTCTAGGTTGAGGAGGCTCCCGGCTTGAGTCAAAATTTTTACTCTACAAGCCAAGTCAAGAACCCCAAAGGCCAAGCAGTGGACACCGCACCTGACGTGCATGCAGACTAACACAATGCTCTCGCACTGAAGCCTTCAGTCTGCCGGCTCCCAAATCGTCAGCAATCGTAGCCTCGGTCAGATATCTTGAAGACCTTACCCTAAACCCTAAGACTCTGAATGACAGCTCCGACGGACCACGAGTCCAACTTGAAAGCCGCCAGGAGACATATCCGACGGCAGGAGATATTGCCACGGCTTGTGGCAGCCGATTGGAGCCGGATGGTATATAGTCTCCACCTCACAGATATAGGCCCTATATAGGCGCCTTAATAATTAGAAGGGTCTTGGGGTATATATACATATATACACATAATACGGAACCCTCCAAAATAGACCCTTGTAATACCCGAGCGGGACAAACACAAAGCTCAATCGACGTGGGCATGTTGACACCAGAACCTGTGGTACGATCCCCATCATGCCAAGTCACCGAGAATTCTTGCGCCACCTCCGGGGACTTGCAGATACTCTACTGGGAGCTGCACTTGTAATCCTGGCCTCCCGGGACGGAATGTGTGCCGCCAGGTCTGCAGCTGCTCGAGCGAAGCAGATGTCTTCCTCAGCGCGGCTGTCTCGGAGCAAACCCCGTGCTTGGAGAGGTTTGGCGGGCATCGAACGAACAAACGGATGTCCTGCATCGATGTTTCAATGGTCGCCGGGCCGAGCCCTTTGTGGTCTGCTGATTTCAGTATGGATCTCAGCAGTTTGGAGCCCAGACTCGTTGCGAGAAGGCCAGGGGCTTGCCACTTCACCGGCACACGTTGCCTGACTGCCAAGCCAGACTCGTTGAACCGCATCGCATGCAGCAATTTAGTCAAGATGGGCCCTGGATGTCAAGAGCCTTGCCCAATGACCCTGAAAGGCGGGGGTGCCTGCATGTAGTCCAAAGCGGCGCGAAGGAACTCGCAACGCCTGGCAAGGCGTTGAAAGACAGCCATGATGGCTCCGACACGGGTCGACTCACGACGCATGAATCGTGGACGCTTTGCTCAGCAAAAAGACAGTGGCGAATGCATAATGCCTAATAGAAAAGCCGCCGTTGCCAACACAGGTTGCATCCTGTGGCAAGACTTACAATCTGACCCTTCCTAACCTAATGCACTCTCCGAAAAGAACATGCTCCTCTGCCCAGCTCCAGGGTGCTCCAACCAGGTCATAGCTGCAGTAGCCTTACGGTCTTACGATCTAGCTCCACATCAGGATCCCGGCTGCCCGACTCCTTCCTATCACTCTCATGTCAGGCAGCTTTCGACGCCAGAGCGCAGAAGCAGAGAGTCACATTCCTCCCGGGCAAGGCATGACAACGGGGGGTGCAAGGCGCCCATCGAACAAAAGCTGCAGAGCTTCCAGGAAAAGCGCCAGCTTGCCACCAGCACCCTCGATCCACGACAACAATTCCTCACATGCCCGGGATGAAATCTCACACCATCTCATGTTCGTCATGTAGCAAGCGAGTATCCTGAGATCTGCGGAAGTTGGCGTACCCTTCGCGGCTGAAGTTGGATATCGGTAAGCAATGAAGGTGAACAAAGGACCACCTCCTCAATGCACAATCGGGCGCCAGGTGCCGTGATGGCTTCAGCGTCGAGAAGTCTCACTGGGTCACAAGCTGAACAACAAGCAAAGCTGCAAACCCCACGAAGCCTTGGACATAGAACATATGCCGTACTTCCACCTGTTGTTGTGACTCCGGTGTCTGCTGCGAGGCTTTCAAGAACATGCAGAGGCAAGTCTCCTCACAATCTGCTCGACGAAGGTCTTGTTCCGCTCACCACAAACCAGAAGAAGAGCCCACGTACCTATAGCTGGGTTTGACATTCAGGGAAGTGTCGATTCAACGTCGGTTCAAGGAGCACCACCACAAATGCAGCCAGACCACGCGGCTCGAGCAAATGTATGCTAGAGCGGAGCACCACCTCCAGGTCCTGTGCCGCTGCATCCCTATGCATGTGTGTATCATATATCTGATATGTGTATGTAAATATACGTACACCTACATGCAGACATGGACATGTCAGCAGTCTTGGTACATACTCTCAGAAAGTTTTTGCGAATGCCATCGAAGAGTTCGCCAGCATCCCAAGCTCCCTGTGGCGCCGCGACCCGCATTGTAGGTTTTCAAGTGGTGCATATTTGTGGCAACGTGGATCCCAGTGATCCCGATCCCAGTACCGGGGTTCTAAGTGGAGGATGCCCTGCTAACATGCGAGATGGAGCTGCCCAACAAGGTTTATAATGGGGCATGCTGCCAGTTCATGTCACACGGATTACTTTGGTGCTGGGACGTCTTTCTCAGACGGTAGTTCCGTGGTGATGCCCGCGTGAATCTGTGCTCGACTCTGTCGTTGGGCTTGTCGCAGGACTGTCGGCTTGCAGTTCATGCTGTTATACTAATGGCATGCATTACACATGAAAGCGAATCCTCGTGCTCAAACATTGTGAGGGGAATTCTAGCACAGCTTGTTGGGAGCACACACACACACACACCCACGCACCCACGCACCCACCCACCCACCCACCCTTCGCAAGATGGTGCCTTGTTGGGAATCTGCTAGGAACCTAGCTCGGCTCCTCGTGTTCGCGCATCTCGATCACAACCAGGACCCGCTCAGAGTGTCTTGGCAGGCCTGTGCTCGCACCATCCCATAGCATAGTAGAGTTTGGCTCCCTCTTGGCATCGTCTGGGACTCTGCATGGCAGGTGTAGCATAGTATAGTGTATAGTAATAGTAATGTCATACAACTATATAGTATGCAAGCCGCAAAAGCCCTGGCTTTCTCGCAAGTGGGTAGTGCTGTCAGGTTGAGGTGTGCGGCTCTGCTTCTTTTCTCACCAGGCGCGCACTTCGGATTGATCGTATCTTAGGCAGACCAAATGCGGATCAAGCCCCCGCAGACGGATCTGAGTCATGGGCAGTTTTCATCTTGCTACCTATGTGAAGGTAATGGAAGGTGGTCTCACAACCCTTTTGCTCAGTTGGCGCAAAGCAAAACACTCCCATCTTCCATGGCCTGCCCTCGCTTCGGAAGCTCGCAATGCGCACAAAAGCAAATTCCGCCGGGGTTGCTGCAGTGTCTCCTGGGTGCCACGGTGCAGCTTCCACAACGACGGCCGGGCCTTGTTCCGGTCCGGGGAGTTCCCGGTGGAGACGGAGGCGCAAGGAGGTGCTGGAGCCATCCCAGTGGGGCCACTGCTGTGTACTCCAATCCGAGAACCCCTGGTTTGTGACCACGCAGGACAACCTGGGCACGCCATCACAAAATTCAATGCCGGCTTTGATCCAGGTGAGCTCATCCACAATCACCATGGCACCAGCTTGATCAAATTGTGCTCGCGGGTGCAGGGTGAAAGCTAAGGACATGGTTGCCTCGGAGTCGGCCACCGGACACACCAAGACCTGACCGTCATGCTTGATGAGCAGGGGCTTGTAAAACGTCCGACTCCAGAAGTCGCGCTTTGCTGTTGGCTGGACTCGAAGCCCCTTTCCAGCTTCGGTCAGCGACCAGTGCTCGGGTTCCGAAGGCTCCCACACCAAACTGGGATCGGCAAATGATTCGACGCTAGCCATCAAGAATATTATGCCGAAATTACAAGAGACACGGTACAGCCGTCCCTGCTAGACCCGTTTTGATCAGCGAAAGCAGCGGGTGCGCATTTGTTGTTGTTGAGTCCAGATGTGTCAACTCAAGGCCAGCCATAGCGTTCATGCGCATCAACAGGGTGCCTGTGATGGGGCCGGTGTCCATGGCCTTGCGGCGCTGCGAAAGGTAGTCCTGCAAACGTGAAAATGAACAGTACTAATTTTCAATAGGAATACGAATATTAATAGTAGTAATAATGGCAATAATACTTACAATTGCAACGAGAAGAATGAACATCTAGCAGTAATTAATTGTCTTACTAATCGTGATAATGATACTACAAGCACTGATAGCACTGGTCGTAATGGGAACCATAAGCCCTTCAGGTCCTGCCAGATGCGGTAGCTGTTCTGTCGCCAGGAGCGCCACTGGGAAAGAGTTGTGTTGGTGACTCCTTGACTCATGCAGTGCGAGCGCATGCTACAGCTCCCACATATGGGGATCTTTTCATGAAGCCGGGCACGTGGTTTCGGCGCTCACACTCGGACAATCCAGGCGAGGATTGTGGTCATAGGTCGGTTGGCAAGTGATTTAGGAGCCATATAACAATTATGCAACTGGTCTGGGTCCATTTTTGGGGCTGTAAGTGACACTTCTGTGTCTTCAACTCCCGAATCTTCAACGGCAGCAGCACAAGCAGCTGTCCTCGAAGCTCGGCAGGTCCCGGACCAAGCCGCCAAGCCAGGCCGCGCAGGACGTGGACGCTGAAACCTAGTCCACTTCTTGCTCTCTCAGCTCGGCGTGATTTGAGCTACACTGACCCTGTGAAGGAATGAGGCCAAGGCTCTGAGAGATTCCGAATCATCCTCGCCCGATGCAATGCAGCGCCTTCTGGGATCCACGCCTCTGCACGGAAGTCCACTGGCATCCGCCTGCTACAGTCAGCAGCGCTTGCGGGCTGCAAGGTGCATGCTTCTCTGCATGTTGAGACTGGTTCGCAGGCACTTCTGTGGCTCGCATCGTTGCCTGTGTCGTCGGCAGTGGCATCGCAGCCGGGCGCGGACCCCATGGCGGAGAAGCAAGAAACAAAAGCCATTATAAGTACAACTCTTCGTGCCATGTGCTGCCAATCCACAAACGCAGGCACGGAAAATCGCTCAGCTTGATTCTGTGTGGGATTGTGTGTGTGTGTGTGCGTGCACTGTTTGGCTCGTAGCCTAGACGGCATCGCTCTTGACTGCAACTGTTGCACACAGCGAATGAAGGGCCCGACAGCACAGGAGCACCACTCAGTCCGGAGCAGCCGATCCTGACGACAGCTGCAAGTATCCCAGCCTTGGCACAAACCAGATGCTGATGCCAAGATCCTTCGCATGGCGTCTTGCGCATTTACTTAAGCCCTGGAAGCAAAAGCTATGTCCTGGGACTGGCGTAGGCACGGCGTAGCTTTGTAATGCCAGGGCTCTGTGATCTCATGCAAGGGGGGCTCAACCGAAGCTGGGTCGGAGTTTCAAAGTCGCTGAGGAGTCGGCAACGTCAAAGTTTCGCAATCCTTGGGCTGGTGGCCTCAGGCACTTCTCGCGCTTCAACTACCCAAGTAGTCGAAACAGCATGGCTCCTTTTTTTGGTGATTCGGGTGTCGAGATAGGCAGAATCGAGAAGTGAAGACAGAACTATTCTTGGTGCGCTGCGTAGGAGCTCCCGAAGCTCCATCTCCGCGTCCTCCAGTCGACCTCGTGGGATTAGGGTTTAGGGATTGAGTTGGTCCTCTTCGGACCTGGGGAAAAAGTGACAGGTCTCCGGCCGGTTTGCTGTAGAGCCATGGCCTCAGTACTCAAGCTCATCGATCCTAAACAGTTCAGCAATGGGATCTTGAACCCGATCCTGAAACAGTACATTTTGAGTAGAACATGAGAGCCTAAAGTGGCGTCTTTTTGAAGCAGTGGAATTGGTGAATGCCAGCTGCCAGCACACTGCCCCCATTGTTTGTAAGGACCTTCTAGACCTTTATTCGAGAGTTTTATTCAACTGTTGCAGAGTGGGGGCAGCACCCAACTTGAGCCCAAGAAAGCAAGGCAGCAGGCGCCTCTCAGTGCTCAGGCCCCAACCCTGGCCAGCCGGGCAGGACCCTGCGTCGGGTCCAGTTCCGTGGCCTTGGAGCCGTTATTCCGGGCTACGAGGAAAGTCCCATAAGCCCGATATCTACAACTACATAGATACACACATACACACGTATCTATCCATCTATTTATCCATGGATGGACCCTCCTTGACCTGCCCCCCAATACAGGGTTTTTTCACGCCCTGGGTTTGGGGGTCTAAGGCCGAAGGAACGAAGAATAAAGGGACATAAGACAGAGAGACAAAGAGGGGTAACGGGAAAGACACAGAGGGCGACAGAGGGAAGAGAAGGTCAAAACAAGGAGCAAACCGCTCGACAGGAACTAGAGAATTTCAGAAGAAGCAACAAACCGCTCGAATGAGATTAGGAAATTTCGCAAGAGACTACAGAATTTTGTAGTATTTTTCGATTTCCCCATGTCTCTTTCGAGCGGCTTGCTGCTCCTCCTGCAGTTCTTTAGTTCCTTTCGAGCGGTTAACTGCTTGTTTTCAAATTCTCTAGTCTCTATCGAGCGGTTTGCTCATTGAAATTCCTTTGAAGCGGTTTGCTCCTTGTTTTCAATTTCGGTAGTCTCCTGCGACATTGTCTAGTCTCTCTCGATTGCTCCTTCTCCTGAAAACTTCTAGTCTCTTTCGAAACTCTCTAGTCCCTTGCAAGTGGTTTGGCCCTTTTTCTGGCAGTCTCTAGCGGCTTGCTGCGTGTTTTCAAAATCTCTGGTCTCTGTCAAAATTGTCTAGTCTCTTTCGAGCGGTTTGCTCCTGGTTTTCACTTTATCTAGTCTCTTTTGGGCTGTTTGCTCCTTGTTCTGAAATTCTCAAGTTCCTTTCGAGCGGTTCCCTCCCTGCTTTCAAATTATCTACTCGCTTTCGTGCGGCTTGCCCCTTTTCTGAAATCCTCAAGTATCTTTCGAGCCGTTTGCTCCCTGTTCTCAATTTCTCTAGTCGCCTGCTGCTTCTTCTGAAAATCCCTAGTTCCATTCGAGCGGTTTGCTCCTTCTTCTGAAATTCAGTTTGTTCCTTGTTCTCAAACCCTCTAGTATTTTTTGAGCGTCTGGCTCCTTCTGCTGAAACTGTCTAGTTCCTGATGAGCGGTTTGCTCCTTGTTTTCAACAATTTCTCTAGTCTCTTTCGAACGGTTTGCTCCTTCTTCTGAAACTCTAGTTCCTTTCGAGCAGCTCCCTCCTTGCTTGAGAATTGCCTAGGTCTCTTTCGAGCAGCTTGCTCCTTGTTTTCACATTCTCTAGTCTCTTTTTGAGCGGTTTGCTGTTTCTTCTGAAATTCTCTAGTTCCTTTCGAACGATTTGCTCCTGGATTCAATTTCTTGAGTCTCTTTCGACATTCTCTAGTCTCTTGCGTGCGGTTTGCCCGTTCTTCTGGAATTCTCAAATTCCTTTCGAGCGCTTTGCTCCTTGTTTTCCAATTCTCTAGTCTCTTTCGATATTCTCTAGTCTTTTTCGACCAGATTGCTCCTTCTTCTGAAAGTTTCTAGTCTTTCGAAATTCTCTAGTCCCTTTAGAGCGGCTTGCTCCTTCTTCTGCAATTCTCTAGTTCCTTTCGAGCGGTTTGCTCCTTCTTCTGAAATACTCTAGAACTCTTCGAGCGGTTTGCTCCTTGTTTTCAAGTTGTCTATTCTCTTTCCAGCGGGTCGCTCCCTGTTTTCAAAATCTCTAGTCTCCTTCGAAATTCTGTAGTCTCTTTCGAGCGGTTGGTTCTTTCTTCTGAAATTTCTAATTATTTTCGAGCGATTTGCTCGTTGCTTTCAAATTCTCTAGCCTCCTGCGGCATTATCTAGCCTCTTTCGAGCGGTTTGCCCCTTCTGCTGCAATTCTCTAGTTCCTTTGGAGCGGTTTGCTCCTTGTTTTCAATTTCTCTAGTTTCCATTGAATTTCTTCAATTTTTTTCGAGCGGTTTGCTGTTTCTTCGGAAATTTTCTAGTTCTTTTCGAACGGT